GTGTTGGAGGTGGGGCCTGGTGGGGTGTTTGGGTTATGGGGCGGATCCCTCATGGCTTGGTGCTGTCCCCTCCATAGCGAGTTCTTACAGATCTGGTTGTTGTGAAGTGTGGTACCTCCTCCCCACACTCACTCTCTTGCTCACTCTGTGATGTGGGATGCCTGCCCCTGCTTCACCTTCTGCCATGAGTAAAAGCTCCCTGAGGCCTCCCAGAAGCTGAGCAATGTCAGATGCCATGCTTATACAGCTTGCAGGACTGTGGACGAATTAAACCTCTTTTCTCATAAAGTACCAGGTCTCAGGTATTTCTTTATAGCAATGCAACAACAGCCTAATATAGTAGTGTACCATGAACTGATCTTTCCCTGGTGGACAAAACCAACATATGCTAGTGAAGGCAGAAACCAATATCGTTCATCCCCTTTCAATACTTCCAGAAGTTAATTCAGTACTCTGTCACAAAAAAAAAAAAACAGAAGAAATAAAAAATAAATGTTTGCATCAACAAAGTGTGATCTATCCTTCCCTGTACTTGTACTACAAGGACATGCTTGTTGCTTCTACACTACACAAAGTCAACAGTTATCATCAACAGTGCAATAGAACTAGATTGGAAGAAAGCTTCAAAGTGACTCTGCTCCACCCAAATTTTAAAAATTCAATTCAGGATGAACAACAGCTTTTAATTTTATAACCAGCTCTTACTTTTCTCTCGTGTCACACGTGATGAAGTTCTCACTTGACATTTCCCTCCTGCAAGTTACAATGCATGTCCTCGCCATCAACTTTTTCTGACACGAAAATTAATTTGTAGAAATCGCAAAAGCAATGAAATTGTACTTCCAATTCAGAACCTCTGACCAGATTCCTGCTTTGATGCAAACTTCCTCCTCTGCAGTGTACCCCACCAGCACAATGACCCCCTTTCTCTCTATTCTTTTGCCCTAAAGGCATTTTTGGATTGCTTAACATGTACTTTTGGCTGCCTACACAGTCAGCACACCTAAGGCTATCAGGACTTATCACACACCCCTCCTTTTTTTTTTGAGATGGAGTCTTGCTCTGTTGCCCAGGCTGGAGTGCAGTGGTGCCATCTTGGCTCACTGCAACCTCCATCTCCTGGGTTCAAGCAATTATTCTGTCACAGCCTCCCAAGTAGCTGGGACTACAGGTACCTGCCACCATGCACAGCTGATTTTTGTATTTTTAGTACAGACAGGGTTTCACCATGTTGGCCAGGCTGGTCTCGAAGTCCTGATCTCAAACGATCTGCCCGCCTCGGCCTCCGAACGTACTGGGATTACAGGCATGAGCCACCGTGCCCAACCTCCTCCTTCTTTTCTACGGCTAATACCACTTTCCTGCTTTTCTTCTACTGGTGAATATCTATACTTGGTGCTGTCATCAGGGGGACAGTGTTGATTTCGGCTTCGAGCTCCTTGATGGTTAAGCCGCATCCCTGGACAATCCTGAAGTACAATGAAACATGTTACTGTTACAACAATGCTACTAAGCTTTTACATGGGATTTTCTGAATCATAAGTTATTATTAATATATGCTAAAGCCCAGTCATTTAAGATCGTAAATATGAGGGCATGGTAAATGACAACTTGCCCACTTCCTCTCTCCATCTCCAAAGAAAAGCAACCAGTTTGTAATTATTATTTTATAAGCCTTGGTAAATTTTTTTTACAGGGTCTCACTGTGTCACCCAGGGTGAAATGCAAGTAGCTGTATCCTCAACATTCCAGATACAGGCGATCCTCCCAACTCAGCTCCCTAGTAGCTGGGATTGCAGACACGCTCTCTCACACTGGACTAAGTTTTAAAATTTTTAGTAGAGATGGGTTCTCCCTGTTTCCCAGGCTGGTCTCAAACTCCTGAAGTTAAGTGATCCTCCTGCCTTGGCCTCCCAAATGCTAGGATTACCTGTATGAGACAACACATCTGGCCCATTTCATTTCTTTTTTTGAGATGGAATCTTGCTCTGTCGCCCAGGCTGGATTGCAGTGGCATAATCTTGGCTCAATGCAATCTCTGCCTTCCAGGTTCAAGCGATTCTCCTGCCTCAGCCTCCCAATTTGATGGGATTACAGGCACCCACCACCATGCCTGGCTAATTTTTGTAATTTTAGTAGAGACGGGGTTTTGCTATGTTGGCCAGGCTGGTCTCAAACTCCTGATTTTGTGTGATCCACCCACCTTGGCCTCCCTAAGTGCTGGGATTACAGGCATGAGTCAACGTACCCAGCCTTTTGCGAGATTTCTAAGGATGATTAATCCTATGTATGTAGGTATCAGCATATACTTTCCAATAATTCACCAAGTATAAGCCTATCTTTGCTACCTTGATTTCCCAAATGATAGAACTGGTATTAACAAACTTTTGTGGTATAAACGACAGCCCAGAGGCAGTGAAGAAAAATCTAGGCAGACTGCCCCAACCCCGCCTCAAATGCATGTAACATACAGGACTCTTTATACCAACAAAAGGTTACAAAACCTCCTTAATTAACCTTTCCCCTATGGAATTAAAGATAACATCTGTGAATACCAGAAAGTTAGATCTTAATTTTATAATCAAAGCTTAATTACTGTCTCCGGACTACCTTGTGTATGCATGCTGTGAAGGGTGGTCCAGCTTCAGTTCCTCCAGATTTTGAAGGCATTAAAGCTTCACGAACGCCCCAGTCATCCTTTTTCACTGCCCTGGAAGTAGCTACCCCCACTGCCCTCACCCTTTCAATTTCTCCTGCCTCCATCCTTTAGCATCACTTCTCTCCAGCAGAGCAGCTAACTCCCCATGGCTGTAAGCACTATGAGAAACCGACCACGTTGTGTTCACTACCATAGTGTCAGTGCCAACACATACTAGAAGGTGCTCAATTAATGTTTAGATAGCCAGGGTTTGAGTTGTCTCCATCTAATCTTTATTTCCAAAGAAATCAAACATGTGTCTGAAGGAGGCAGAAATTGATCAAACACTTGCTTTCATATTGTTTCTAACAGTTTATATTTATTTTAAAATTATTATTATTTTTTGAGGCAGGGTCTCACTTTGTAACCAAGGTTGGAGTGCAGTGGTGTGATCATGGCTCACTGCAGCCTTGACTTTCCAGACTGAAGCGATCTTCCAGTCTCAGGCTCCTGAGTAGCTGGGGCTATAAGTACACACCACCATCCCCAGCTAATTGTTAAAAATTATTTTAGAGATGGGGTCTTGCTTTGTTGCCCAGGCTGGAGTGCAGAGGCATGATCTCAACTCACTGCAACCTCCACCTCCCAGGCTCAAGCAATTCTCATGCCTCAGCCTCCTGTGTAGCAGGGATTACAGGCACCCGCCACCACACTCAGAAAATTTTGTATTTTTAGTAGAGATGAGGTCTCACTATATTGGCCAGGGTGGTCTCAAACTCCTGACCTCAAGTGATCCACCCACCTTGGCCTCCCAAAATGCTGGAATTACAGATGTTAGCCACTGCGTCCAGCCTATTTTATGTTTAAATTAATAGAATTTTATTTGTAGAGAAGTTTTGGGTGACATGCCTGCACCTGCTTCACCTTCTGCCATGACTTAAAGCTTTCTTAGGTCTCGCCAGAAGCTGAGTGATGTCAGATGTCAAAAATTTAATTTCTCAAAATTCATAGGTATTTAGTAAAGTTAATAAACACACTTAGCTTCATACTTGAATCTGTTACTATTTATTGACATCAAAACAAAACAAGCTAAGACTAAAAGTTGCTACTTAACACGAATAGACATTGGTGCAGTTTCCTTCCTGGAGACGGTATGCACTCAAATCATGAGACCTAAGATCAAACACACACTGAATTGTCAAGAATCAAACAAGGACTACATTTTATCTCTTAATAGAAAAGATGCTGAAGACAAAACAAGATGTTTAAAAATATTCTTTATGCTAAGCTCATGTAAACAAACAAAAAACTAAAACTAATCCTAAAACTTTAGGACATTGGATACAGAATTAACATTAACTATTTAAATTTTTTGCATCAACGAAAGTATGATCTATCCTTCCCTGTACTTGTACTACAAGGACATGCTTGTTGCTTCTACACTACACAAAGTTAACAGTTATCATCAACAATGAAATAGAACTAGACTGGAACAAGGCTTCAAAGCGACTCTGCTCCACCCAAATTAAGAAAATTCAATTCAGGATGAACAACAGCTTTTGATTTAGAACCAGCTCTTACTTTTCTCTTGTGTCACATGTGATGAAGTCCTCGATATCCCCCCTGCAAATTGCAATACATGTCCTCGCCATCACCTTTTTCTGACACTTTAAAAGTAATTTGTAGAAATTGCAAAAGCAATGAAATTGTACTTCCAATTCTGAACCTCTGATCATATTCCTGCTTTGAAACAAGACTAACTCCTCTGCAGTGTACCCCACCAGCACAGCGACCCCCTTTCTCTCTATTCCTTTGCCCTGAAGGCACTTCTGGATTGCTTAACATGTGCTCTTTGGCTGCCTAGACAGTCAGGACACCTAAGGCCATCTGGACTTATCACTCCTCTCCTCCTTCTTTTCTATGGCTAATACCACTTTCCTGCTTCCTTTCTACTGCTGAATCACCAGACTTGGTGCTGTCATCAGGGGGACAGAGTCGGTTTCGGCTTCGAGCTCCTGGTTGGTAAAGCTGCATCGCTGGACGATCCTGAAATACAATGAAATATGTTACTGTTACCACAATGCTACTAAGCTTTTACATGGTATCTTTAGAGTCATAGTTATAAAGTAAAGTCATTTAAGACCAAAAACGTGAGGGCATGGTAAATGACAACTTCCCTACTTCCTCTCTCCATCTCCAAAGAAAAGCAACTATTTTGTAATTATTATTTTATATGCTTGGGTAAATTTCTTTCTTTTTTTTTTTGGAGACAGGGTCTCACCCTGTCACCTAGGCTGAAGTGCAAGTGGCACAATCATGGGTCATTGCAGCCTCGACATTCCAGACTTAAGTGATCCTCCCACCTCAGGTCCCTAGTAGCTGAGATGATAGGCACGCACTACCATACTGGGCTGTTCTTAAATTGTTAGTATAGACGGGGCCTCCCTGTGTTGCCCAGGCTGGTCTCCAACTCTTGGGCTCAAGTGATCCTCTTGACTTGGCTTCCCAAATTGTTGGGATTACAGGCATGAGCCATCACGCCCAGCCGTAAGTGCCAGTTTTAAAGGAAGCACAGAAGATAGAGGAACATGTTAAATAACACCACAGGAATGTAATTTGCCAATCCAGAACAGGAAAAGCTCTACAAGACAAATTGGCTTCTGCAACAAATGTTAGGAAAACAAGAGAAGGGGAAATTGTTTAGATTAAAAGAAAACTTGGTCCGGTGCAGTGGCTCACACCTGTGTTCCCAATACTTTGGGAGGATCAGTTGAGGCCAAAAGTTTGAGAACAGCCTAAGCAACACTGGGAGACCTCATCTCTACAAAAAAAAACTTAAAAATTAGCTGGGCATGGTGATGCATGTCTGTAGTCCCAGCTACTCTGGAGGCTGAGGTGGGGGATCACTTAAGCCCAGGAGGTCAAGGCTGCAGCGAGCTGAGATTGCGCCACTGCACTCCAGCCTGGGTGACATAGCAAGGCTCTGTCTCAAAAAATAAATTAAAACAAAAGAGAATTGAAGACATTTCAAGCAAATACAATTTGTTGAATTTGTATAGGTCCTGTTTAAAAAAAAAATTAATGAATTGGGAACATATGAACACTGAGTAGATAGATAGCATGTTAAGGAATTACTGTTAGGTTTTTTTTTTTGGTGTGAAAATGCTGCTAGGGTAATATCAATAAAGAGTATTTATCTTAAATACTGGAAGTATTTAAGGAAGAAATTATGTATAGGGTTTGCTTGAAAATAATCCAGTAGAGGTAGGGATGAGGTAGAGTAGAAAGACGATTGGCCATGAGCTGCTAATTTTTAAAGCTGGGAGATGGGTACAGAGGATTCATCAAAATATTTTTTTTTTTTTTTTTTTTTTTGAGACTGAGTCTCGCTCTGTTACCCAGGCTGAAGTGCAATGGTGTGATCTTGGCTCACCGCAACCTCCACCTCCCAGGTTCAAGTGATTCTCCTGCCTCAACCTCCTGAGTAGCTGAGATTACAGGTGTGTGCCACCATGCCCAGCTAATTTTTGTATTTTTAACAGAGACAGGGTTTCACCATGTTGGGAAAACAGGTCTCGAACTCCTAGGCTCTAGCAATCCACCCACCTCTGCCTCCTAAAGTGCTAGGATTACAGGTGTGAGCCACTGCGCCTGGCACATCATACTATTCTCTGTTCTAATTTTGTATATCTTTAAAATTTCTATTTTTTTTTTTTTAAGATGGGGTTTCACCATGATGGCCAGGCTGGTCTTGAACTCCTGACCTGAGATGATCCACCCACCTTGGCCTCCCAAATGCTAGGATTACAGGCGTGAGCCACCGCGCCTGGCCTCAAAAATTTCTATAGTAAGTTAATAAAAGCCCAGACAAGACTGAAAAAAAGTTGCAGATTATTAAAGTTCCCCTTTAAAAATTCTATAATAAACAGTGAGCTAGCCCTTTCCTTTACACTTGCAGGAAAAGGGAAAAAAAAACCTCTCATAAACAAGTTTAATGACAAGCAGCACCTTGTTTCTTATGCGATCTCTCTTGACCACTTCTTCTTTCTTTTCAGTTTTTTCTGAGCTTCCTATTGATTCTGTACTTTCGGCCTTCTTTCCTTTATCCC